GCTGTTTACCTTTATACCATAATTGTCGTACTTGAGTTTCATACCTACGAGATTCATTCTTGTAGATTTCTTTTTAGTCTTTAGTTACCATTGGAGCTGCTCTCGGAAGTGCCATTGGTGGATGGGCGATTGACAAGCTTGGTCGGAAACGTACCATTATGTTTTGCACGGTTCCACTTGTGCTGGGTTGGCTTCTCATTAGCTACGCTAAGAATGTTGCCATGCTTTACGCTGGTCGGATCATTACAGGCCTGGGCTGTGGTGCAGTCTCACTGACTGTCCCGGTATGTCTGTGGATTAGAGTGTGTATAATTAAGTTAGCGTTGCTGTAACTGTTAATACTTCAATTTATCGTCAGAAAGTTGCTATTTGTTGTAACTATCCAAACTTAATGGCGAATTAGCAACAACTTCAAATGACCGCGAAATTGTTGCTTGGTAAAAGTCACATGAAACCATTCAAATTTAAAGCAAATACACCAAATCATCCTCGACTTCGGGTAAACCTGTTAAAAAGAATTGCATTGATGATATTTTTTCATTCATGTATATGGTCCGGCAGATGGCAAGATCTTACCACTAGTCACGGCAATTAATTACAGGAAATTTCAAATTGACCTGTTAATGCAATATATATTTTTTGTAGGTCTACATTGCTGAAATTTCAGCTGCAAGGGTACGTGGTGCACTTGGGTCTGTCAACAATTTGGCCATCACTGTTGGCCTTATACTAGCCTATGTGGCGGGTGTCTTTTGTCACTGGAGATGGCTGGCTTTTATTGGTGCAATTCCTCCTATGCTTCAAATTATTCTTTTGTTTCCTATGCCGGAGACTCCTTGCTGGTTGCTGGGAAAGAACCGCAGAAGTGACGCGCTAGAATCCTTGTTTTGGTTAAGAGGTCCTTCTGCAGACATCGAAGATGAATGTATCACTATCAAAGAGACCATTGGTGAGACATTTTATTTCAAACACAGAGATATTTGAAAGTTACTNTAAAAGAAAGAAATTTAACAGTTTTTTGACTCTGCAAGAGATTTATCAAGGATACAGATACATCACATATGTTATATACATACCTAACTTTACTTGATTCAAATTTAAACTATACAATTATCAGACTCTCACAATATTGGCTGTTGATCAAAAAATCTTGACATATGACAGAATACAACATTAGGTAGAGGTTCTCTGCGCATTGATTGTCCTATTCGAATGAATTCACACCAGGAATGTTTGATAAGCGTTTGACGGACTTCATGAAAAAAAAACTCAAAAATAGAAAAAATGTACATTGATATTTCTCCTTGAAAGGTTACCAGCGGGCTTCAGCCTGGCCCACTTAATCCAGTTTTGATCGTTGTGTGTGATGGTGATCGTTGTGTGTGATGGTGATCGTTGTGTGTGATGGTGATCGTTGTGTGTGATGGTGATCGTTGTGTGTGATGGTGATCGTTGTGTGTGATGGTGATCGTTGTGTGTGATGGTGATCGTTGTGTGTGATGGTGATCGTTGTGTGTGATGGTAATTGTTGTGTGTGATGGTCCAGATGAGAAGCGGTATCATCAGACCACCTTCGCTACGTGGAAAAGAATGACAAGGACACATCGAAACCAGTCGCTAGACACTTTAATTTACCTAACTATTCTAAGGAACATATGGCAATCTGCGGTCTTTCCTTACACTTAGGTAGCACGGAAAGCCGTAAAAATCTTGAACAAAAGCTCATCTTTCAAACCAGCAGTCTAAATCCCACCGATATCAACGAACGCTTTTCATTCCACTAATTTATTCGTGTTTTTCTCGTTGCCATGTTCCCACCAATAACGTAGCTCCATTTTCTGCCTTTACAAGCACACGCAACCCACAATTCCTCTATTTACTCCGACGTCAGCTTTTGTAATCTTTACGGTGGCCAATTTACCATTTCAACTTTGTTGATATATCCAAATCATCAGACTCCCATGAGAGTCGAGTGAAAATTGCTGTCTGTCGCGGTTCGTGTAAATTGATGGGTCAGTTTTGATCGATTGACAACGCTAGCCTGTTTTGTTTGGTTCTTCCGTTCCGCTGTGTAAATTTCGTGAATAAGTCAATTGTGAGGTTCTAGTGGTTGTTGCCATCTCTAGAGGGAGTCTTTTCTAAATTGAAGCCATTTTTCTCAGCTTGCACTTAGACCTAACGAACATGAGCCAATCAAAACTTCGAGGAACCGCGAGAAAAATTTTAAATATAGGTTGACTGCTTAGTAGCCTACGTTTAGCCGTACCCCCCGCTCCCCCCAGGAGAAACAGAAGGGAGGGAACGTCTACGACAACCGACAACCTGACACAAGAAAATATGTAATTACTTATTATTGATTAACCGTTGCGTCAGATACTTGCGTGAATTCTGATTGGCTATCAAGAAATAAGATGGCAAACAGAGTGCCTCTATGGTTAATTTTACGGACAACAGTGACTGACGAGGAAAAACGGAAGCTGACAACAGCGACCGACGACGAGGTAGAGAAGATTTTCAAGAAGAACAGCAGAAAGTCAAAGATATGTATTTCGGAGCTAAGGTAAAGTTTTCTCCGTTCTGTTGCCAACTAACTATGGAAAATCTTAAACATATCAAGCCCCGCCAGTGATTCGGACGCCTCTCTTCTCTGGAAGAGACCGTTCGGTGTATCTATTGTGCCGCCAGTTAAAGTTCTCATGGAAGACCAGGTTCACTATCTGAATGGACTTGGGTCTTCCTCTTCTTACTTTACATCAAAATCGCTTATAATCTTTTACTATATTCTTAAAACAAAGTATATGTTTGAACGCGGACACTGAATTGCAAATTTACCCGAAATATTGAAAAATTAACCCCTTCAATTTTGCTGTTTACCTCGCTTACTTTTGAAGCTAGCACGTGCTACTTTGCAAAAAAATATCATCAAACTACATAATTGTGAATAGATTAGAGTGACGTCACAGAACATGATTTGAGTTGACAGTTTCGTTGACGCTCCCTCCCTTGCTTTCTCTTCCAGGGAAGTGTGGGGTGGGGTGGGGAGGGAACGGCCACTTGTATGTTAACCGATTAATAAAGGTTCCATCTGGGAAGGGTGTTGTAAAAATCAATAAAAAACACCCATAAAGGATTCGCTCAATATAAAACTACTTTAAGATATAAAGTAACATGGACAAAGTTTGTCTTAAAAGGTTGTTCTTAGTTTTATTGAAGTGACGGTTCAACCGTGGAGGTGGAGGACGATTAATTAAGGCCGTTGGGATTAAGTAAAGGGTACCCATGAACGATTACTTTATACAAGGTGACCGCTTCATACATTGCTGCTTAGTACAGGGGGACCTAACCCAGGGGGACCTAACCCAGGGGGACAGGCGGGTACCTACCTATCATCTATATCAAAGGTTTCTGTCCCCTCTGGCAATTGTCTTGTGTACATTGTCTCTTAATGACCCGTTATTATTTATTGCGTGGGGAAAAGGGGGGAAGGGAACCTCCTGTTCCCCTTAAAACCATGTGATCCTCCTTACCATTTTCTGTTAACGGTGCATAAACGTTTGGTAATTACTAGTCCATTAGATTAGACAGTTACTATTCAATTCTTTCGTAGGCGTGCTTAACCGATCGGTTGAAAATATCTTCAATCTCCACTAATGTTTTACCCTTCGTTTCGGGTAGAAGGAAATAAACAAACAAAAAGCCTAAGATACAACATCCAGCATAAACCCAGTAGGCACCCTGAATGGTCAGCACAGTGGTCATAGAATGATAAGTTGTGGTTTCAAAAAACTGTGTAACTGCGAAGACCATGAATACAAAGCTGCAAGGGAGGCCACGTGCGCGGACAGGAAACATTTCTGAAATCAAAACCCA